TTCTCCCCGCGCGCGTCTTCGTCGCGTTCGACGAAGAACGCCTGGCGATCTGGTGATTCCCCGATGACGTCACGCGACCCACAAGCTCAGAGCGTGGAGATCAGCCATCGGATGAAATCGTTCGAGGAGCACGTTCGTTCCTAACGAAACTCCTTCTTCGGAAACGAATTCCTTCGACTATGGATTCTCTGGAATCGCGTCTGCCTACGAGCACGCGACAAGGATGCGACACGGCAACAGCAAGTACTCCGTCGACCCTGGCAACGTTGGTAACGCGCGATCGAATCAGCACTACGTCTCGCGTCACTTCCTCTCGTCAGTCTCTTGATTGGTCTTGACCAAGTTGTACGCGTGACTCCTGTACTTTGTGGGAGGATCGTGGAGAGGTAGAGGTTGCTGCTGCGGTTGTTGTTGTTGTTGCTGCTGCTGCTGCTGCTGTTGTTGTTGTTGCTGCTGCTGCTCGTTGGATGGCTGACTCATGCTGGACATGGAGAGGTCCGTTGGCATATCGATTTCCGGCTCGACGCCACTTCCTCCTTCTTCTTCCGGCTCCGACTTTATCCGCATTTGCTGACGAAGCAGCGATATGTTCTTTATGTTCTTGAGCTCGGTCGGGTTTCGCAGAAATCTACACGCAAACGAAACATATTTTAAACCGATCGTCTTTGCGTACAGGTTGCCGGCCGTCGCCGTCGCCGTCGAAACGACCACTTTGAACGTTCGCTTTGTTCGTCCGGCAGCGGAGATTGGAATACTCGAAACGCGCGCGGAAAGCGATAAATACTCACTGGTAACAATGGCGTTCCCCTTGGACCTTTCGCAGAATGTTGACGCGGTAATAGTACCGCAGAGCTCTGCTCATCTTGTCGTAATTCATAGAAAGATGATTCTTTTGGATGCCCCAGAGCCTCGCCAACCCCGGGGGATCGACGATTTTGAACACTCCCGTTTCCCGGCTCTTCCACGCGATATAGTGCGTGTACCGTTGCGACGGGTCGTTGAGCAGTTGTTGCAGAAAGTCCCACAGAAGTCTGCCGTCTGTAAGAATAAACGAATTGATTCGACCGTACAGTCTAGATGGAACGGAAGAAGGAAGAAGAAGGAAGAAGAAGGAGAAGGAGACTCACTGGTGTTGGGCTCGGGCGAGTCGCTGGGGAAAAACTCCCTGGCCGCGTTCGCGGGGTTCGTCCTGAAGGCACCGGGCGTCAGAGGCATCATCGGCTGGGTGAGCGTGGGGCTGGGCTGGTCCTTGACGCAGACCTCGCTCAGCCTCTGCGCGGCCAGGGCGGTCGGCGTGGCCGGCGGGCTGCCGGTCGCCGGCTGCTGATTGTCCTCGTCCGAGTCGCTCTTGTAGAGCTGGCTCTGCGCGCCCTCCGTGTGCCCCGGCGAGCCGGCCTGGCTGTCCACCGAGGGCGCCGGCGACAGCGTCACCGAGTTCGCGGACATCAGCGAGGCCAGGTTCGCGGTGTACGGGTTCTCCGTCCACGTCGGCGTCGGCGGGTGCGAGTGCGGGCTCAGGGGGTACGCGGACGGCCTCGTCGGGGTGACCGGGCTGCTCGGCAGACACCTCTGCAGCTGACTAAAGTCCCTGGCCAGCATCGAGAGCACGTTGTGCAGCACGTCCCCGGCGCCCGGGCACCGCTCGCCCAGGTCCGCCTTGGTCAACAGGCACAGCGCCTTCCCGTTCATTTGGAACATGTCCATGTCGAACTGCGGCAGGTCGAACTCCCGCTCCGCCCACCGGAGGAACGTCGCCACATCCTCCCGGGACCACAGCCTTGGATCGGACGCTGTTCGAGACGCGTTCGTTAGTTTCCGTCTGTCTGTTCGTACCGAATAGAACCGCGCGACCGTCTATAGAATCTTCGATCTTGCATACTTCTCGCGCGATACGCGCAGGTAACCTTACTAACGAATTTACCTAGACTCGCCGGCAGGTGAGTCTTGAAGTCGAGGAACGGGCTGGGCGGCGGATGAGTGGGCGGGAAATTCATGGCCGGCCCGTATCGCCAGAGCAGCTCCGTGGGGCTGAAAGGCAGCGAGATGCCTGGCGGTAGCCGAGAGTCCATTCCCGTCATTCCACCCCCGGCCGAAACCGGCGGCAATTGCGGTAGCTGGATCGTCGGCAACAATTTCATAACACGTCCCACTTTCTATTCTATCCTCTCTGAAATCAGAACCGATTAAACGATTCATTAAAATTCGTGACGCACGCGCTCGCTCTAATCGATAGACTCCGTGAAACGCGTCGGATAACGTAAAATAGACGATAAAGCGAAATACAACGAATATCGACCGACCGAATTAAACTAGTCGAATTCTTCGGTGTATTTGGTGCTCGATAAATTTGTAAAGTTTCCTTTCGAGACCAAAGAAGCAGCGATATTTTGAACTCGTGACCGAGAAAATAAGTTTGTTATTTACATCGAAGCGTTCCGTGTTCCGGCTGGAAACGCGCAAGAAAGCGCGACAAGCGCGACAAGCGCGACAAGCGCAACAAGCACACGTGGAAACGGTAATCGAATGGGCGTGACGCGGTGTGTGTGTGCCGGCTTAGGAAAGAGGAAAGATTATTAGCATAAACTGCGGCGGTAGAAGAATGAAAGGCAGCAGGAAACGCGGATTTACATAACTTATTTCCGCCGATTTACAGACTCGCTCGTTCCTTTTTATCTTCTTTCCTTTCCTTCTTCGTTTTTCCCCGTTTCTTTCCGTTTCTTTCCGTTTCTTTCCGTTTCTTTCCCTTTCTCGCGTCCATTCTGTTTTCACGAAAAGCAGGAAAAACGCGCCGAGAGAATCGCGATATTTCTCGAAATATCAAACACCGTAAAACATTGTTTGTTTGACAATTTGTTTCGAGAGTAAACATTTTCAGCGCGTATCAGCGCGTATCAGCGCGTTGTTTTATCGTTCCTCGTTAGAAAGCGCGTTTACGTAACCGTATTAAACGGTGAGCATAATTAAAAACGCTCTTCGAATGGCGCATAGAAAACATAATTACATAATAGCAGCTTTGAATTTAGTCGAACGCTATCGTACGTTCTAGGTTCTGAAAACGTAAGAACCGATTCGACTAGCTCGGTATCGCCTCTATTGGCTCGCGATTCGGAGGATTCCTCGAACGATCGATTCCAAAATGGGCTAACGACAGCTCCTCTTCCACCGTAGAGAAACGGTTGCTTTCGTAAGTAACAATCGCGTTAACTGGTCGATTAAAGAGGCGCATCAGCCGCGAATATTCTATTTCGGACGAAAATGGCGTATTCTAGTCATTCGGATCGGCAGAGATTAAACGAGCGATCGTCGGATCATACTCAAAGCCAGCAGAGCTTTCACGGTTCGATGAATTCCTAATTACGTAGTCGAACATCGGTCGTCTCGATTTTCGGAATTTTCTTTATCCGGCCTCTTGACCAACCGAGGAATTCTTTTTTTCGCCAAATCAAGATTTTCGCTAGCGACCACCGTTGTAACGACAGTTGAATCGATTAATCTTGATCGACAAACTTAATGATTACTTAAGAATTGGAAACATTTCGAAGACCGAAAGATACACGATATGCCTCGAGAAGCCGTTAAAATTGATTCCTAACTTTATACTCGAAGCAGTTTTCATCTTCCACGTAATATAATATATTTCCTAGAGTAATCAGTTGCGCGATCTAATATACCGTATCGCGTGCAACGCGTTAAGATTCCGATTTCTTTGCGCTCCACGGTGCACGCCGGTAAATCAATGTGCTCGAGAGGTTCTCGGAAAACTCGCGGAATCAGGAATCCGAGAAATGGGTCGTTTCGGCACGGTCCGCAATTCTGTTGTAAAGCCAAGGGGTCTATGATTGAATCGTTCTAATGTGGACGAGAGAGTAGGCGATCCAAGGTGTTCGGCGGCACCAGCAGCAGCAGCAGCAGCAGCAGCACCGGCACCGGCACCGGCACCGGCACCGGCAGCACCGCGAGGAGGAGGGGAAGGAACGGGAGTTCCAGGAGGAGGAAAAGGGCAGAGATGCTGGCATGCGAAGGTCGATGTGCCGTTGTCTCGCACCAGGAAATCCTCATTCGAGAACCTCACCACATGTACCAATGCGAGGAGCGGCGATAGTAAAACAGAAAGAGAGAGACCCCGTCGTACCTCCTTTCAACCGATTTTTCGATTTAACGTCGCTCCGAGTTATTCTTACGGAGCTATCAATTACATCTCTACCGATGCCTATTTTTCCTTTCCGAATCGTTCCGCGCGCTTCCTCCTCGGCGAGTTCGCGTCGCGTGTACCGCATCGAGACGATCCTAGGGATTTCGTAGCCGCCATTCGGGGGCAACCGATCAAACGCGAATTAGTTCGCGTTAAGCGTATTATACGTTTCTCGACTGCACTTTTAGACGCGAAACGTATTGTTCGAACGACACACGCGGACGCGGCGTGTTCCGGAGTGACAAAATTCGTCGGAAATACTTATTTCCTTACCTGACGACGATAAGTGTACTTTTTCGAAATGACGACACGCGCGTTCGACTCGTCACCGATAACTCATTAAATATTTCATATTTCTAAACGAACAATATCTATTTCGATACACCATTAGGCGACTAGAGACAATTACGTTTCATCGCTCGAGCGAAATTCTTCGGTAACCTTTCTATTTATAAAATGCCGGATCGGAATAAATTTGAATAAATTCTTCGAAAAGAAGAAGAACGGGAGAAACTTCGTTTCGTTGGGAAACAGAGAATTTCGATTCAAGGGTTAATAATCTCGAGCTCGAACCGCGGAAGAAAAATAGAACGAAACGCGATCGATCGATCATCCGGGACGGGCATTTCCGGCTTGGAGGTCGCCGAGAGCCAACGAAAGGAGGAAATCATGCCGGAAGTCGTTCTTAACGCAAGAAACCGCTCGAATAATCTTCCTCCAGGCAAAAATCACCGCTCGGATCCTTTAGCGATTATTCCGGACATTTAAAGTCCCCTCCGACGGAGCTACGTCGACTGGCATTTCCACTGTAATTTACCACTTTAAAACAACTATATGACACATCGCCGTGCAAGGTGATGCGCAAGGCGATGCGCAAGGCGATGCGCAAGGCGATGCGCAAGAACTAAAGTATTTTAGTTGAAACACGGAAAGGAGATATTATACCTATTATAGTAGATATTCGATCCTCTTCGAGACGCTCTCTGCCATCGAATGTTTAAATATAAAAGAAACGAACTTTTCTCGAAAAAACATTTAATTGTTCCAATTAAACGATACATTTCAGGGAAGCACGCGGGGGGCGTCGATACGATTCGATACCGCGCTGCAAAACGATCTTTCGCGCGCGTGCTTTGAGCCATCCTGTATAAACATGCCAGTGGTTTATCCGGAAGTGAATTCCGGATTTCCTTGGAGCTCGCATCGACGTTGTATAACACACAGTCAACGTTTCCAAGCGTTCGCGTGCACGGCTACTTTGAAAAGAGTATTATGCTCGATTGTTTTCATTAAATAACAACTCGGCTTCTTCGAATTACTCGAGTCGAGTTATTCGTTCGGCCAATCGGCGCGATACGATGCGCATTCGAAACTACATCTTTTTATGCTTCTTCCCGTTTCTCCGACTATCCACATTTCCATCGAATCGGCTAAACTTTTCGAAATAGGAAAAACCTATTGTTCTCAATTGATCGGACTGTTTTTGAGTTTACGGTGATGTTTACAAAGTCACGAGTACCGCGAAACAACGACTAAACGTAAGAAGAAATCCAATGAAAGGCCAATTCGAAGGTTCATCGATTCACTCGTTAATTCCAAAGTTCATCGTTCGAAAGAAACGCGATTCGAACGATACGACTGTAAAGTTCTCGAGTTCGTTCTAAACCGAGGAGTCGTCGTCGAAGGGTTTTCGCGCAACGATAGAAATAACAAACGGGAAACGAACGGCGACGTTCGCGCAGTCGAGTTACGCGGCGTCGGAGCAAAAATTCATTGAATCGCGGTACAAGAAAAACTCTCCCGATCGGGCAGACGAACACGCAAATTGGCTCGGTTAATTGGACGTCCTTTCGACTTTTCTTATAATAAATCAGTTACACGCGAACGAGTTTCTTCGAGCCGGTGATCGCGCTGCCGGTAGCAATTGGAAATGGCACGGTTCGAGTAGTACCGATAATAGTCACCGGCGAACTGTTACAGTATCGCGAGTATCGATAGTTCGACGATACAAGGATGGCGTTAGGTTCGTTTGCCTTTGACGCTACGTTTCGGCCCGTCCTCTGTCTATCCTCTACCTTTCTATCCATTTTTTAATATCATTTTCGACAAAGTTTCGAGGTTCTCCGCTAAAAAAAAGTGAAACGAAAAGCAAGAAACGATGATATCGCCGATGGGATGACCCTAGAAAGGCACAGTATATACGCGTTCCTCTACAGCGAGGTCTCGAACGAATCGATACATGCCCTGACAGACCGAGCAAAATAGAAATCTAGAAAACAATAAAAACTAATCGATTCGGCTGTTCGGTGGTTCCAGCGTTGAGCGCAGGTAAGAACGAGATCGCGATCGACACTCTCGTCAACCCCGACGCCTAGCGGCCAGCGTTTAATTAAAACGTGGCCGTACCGTCTACACCGTAAACGCCGAGGTCCCGATGATCGGATCGCTTTCGTTCTCGCCGAGGCGACCAAAAAACGGGCAGGAAACGGGCAGGAAACGGGCAGGAAACGGCCAGAGACCGACCAGAAGGCGGAAGATCCTTGACGAGGACTTAAGATTTATCGCGCGGAGAGGAGTCGATTCTCTTTTCTTCCGGGTGCTCCGGCCGTTTCCTCGCTCCTTCTCTTTCCTTCTCGGCGTTTCCCTCTCCGTTCGTTCGTATCATTTTCGCGGTTTCGGATTTCTGTACGGCGGCTTGCTTTTCCGCGGCGATCGCCTATCGACGCGTCGATAACGGAGAGGAACATCGATGATAACAGCTTCGTCCAGCCCCGTTACGACACCCGTTATTGCTCGGTCAATTGTTGCTACGAACACGACCGATGAGAATGGATCGGAAGCTTCAAACGTTTCGTACGCGGTACAATTAATTCTCGTAAAAATCCTTTGCTTCGTTCGGTCCCTCTGAAAGACTCTCTACGCGATAGGCCCGCTCGCCAATTCAATAATCTCGGGGCAGTTGTTTCAACATCGTC